CCCATCTCGACCTCTTGGTCATTGGGACTAGGTGAGTGACCATAGCGTTGTATCTCTCTTCGATTGCTAATGTATAACTTGGTCATTGGGACTAGTCTGTCGCTGCTTGCGTGAAGACTAGCTTTCGTCGGTCTCGTGCCTTCGTGCCGACCGCCGCTCTGCCCCGTCGAGTTTTCTGATACGTTTATCCCTCTCTCCCTCGCTTTCCCCCTTTCGGCTCCTCGCCGCTCGCCTACGGGGTCGTCGCCGAACGTCGACCCGAGTCTACGCGCCTAGTCGCCGCGACAATAGGATGAGTAATAGATGAGTAAGGCATAGACCTGTCTAGACCGTTCTGGAGAGGTACAGATTGTCCTAGACAGTACCAGAAGAGTCCGGAAGCATAGCTATAGTACACGAGCAGAGAGTCCCAAATATGGTAACATACTACATAAGCGACTACAGCTAAGCGCTAGGAGACGCATAGCCTCGTGTAGTCCGGACCGGATAAGTCCAAGTTCAACACTTTGACTTGGCCATCTTCAGCTTCTGCCATTGATCTTTGGCCCTGGAGGTATGATAGAACCTATCTCCCAAGGCTTCAGGCTACCTCACGCTTCCAAATAGTTTGCCTCGCTACTCCCAATCTCTGTTGAGACATCATCGAGGGCAACAGGGATGACAGCCCAGGTCGGAGCCCCGACGGTAGCTCTGACAATTGGGGTTCATGCATGGCTGGGTCCCGGATGTTGAGCATCAAGCGTGCCATCAAAGAGGTTGAGATGCTGCATATGCCATCAATCAGTAGGTTTGGCCACTTGAATTTAGCCGCACATCACAATACATATGCAAAGGTCCTAGTTATGCTGAGTCCTCTGAGCGGCGGCTTTGCATATAATGTATGTGTTGATATTGAGCTGCGAAAACAATGAGATAGAGTGTTTTTCTTGCTTACAGGTAGCTGTGGGAGCTACATGTACGAGTTAGGGTTTATAGTGAAGCTTGAAGGAGAACGCTGCATCTTACAATGAGAGTCAATATATTTGTAACATTGCATAGCAGAATGATTCTGTGTGTGGCAATGTATCGAGCATTGTCAGGATCATTGGCCTAAAATAGTTAGCCAAACATCACTGCACCCAAAGTAGAATGCACCTGGAGAGACAAGAGTTTGTGATCCCAATTTGGTCATCATAGGCTTGACACTTACCATTCCGTAGTAAAAGAGTGCTGAGGCTGCTTTTGGTTGCCCTGCGAAGAGCTGCATCGAGTGTCTTATATAGCGTGAGTGCAAATATCAGGGCATCATATGTTAGGGACGCACTCCAAGCCCCTGCTAGATCTACCACAAGAAGTGAGCGGGTCGCCCCAGCCTGATAGGTGTATCAGAGACGTACAGCAGGCTCTGAGGATTTCAAGTGGAGGATTCAGTCCTGCCATACACAAGAACAGCAAAGGGTATATATGATATGGTGACCTACCCAGTTTTTGACAGAGCTGCTTAACAGCCAAAGGTAGAAATGGCATTGGTGGAGTCACCCTTCGAGTCCTCGGATGCATTTGTGACAGCCCACTATAATAGAACGGCATCACAATGAGCCTCAACGTGTTACCTCAGGTCTCTCACAATAGCCACAGATACTGCGATAAGTCCGTAAGCACAGAGGAAAGAGAGTACCCGCCGGCTTTGATTGTACAGTGCGTAAGTGCGGAAAAGCTGGAGGACTAGACGGGAATCAGGCATGTCAATAAGGGTTCTCTACTTCACTTGTGACTTTGCCTACCTCTAATTACTGTCTGTATTGCCACAATGAGTGACTCCTGGTAAACGTGGAGTGTACCACAGCTGGTATTCTATGAATGTTGTGAAGCCTTTTTTGACTAGGCATGTGACTTACATCTGCAGAATAGTGATTAAATGATCTCGAAGGATAATACCAAGCACTTACAGAAGTGTCATTAACTCAGAAAAGCTTGTATATCATTGGTACATGACCAATTAGGGCCAGATAGCGGTTCAGGAAAAAGATGAGAGACTGTTATGACTGACTGTCGAGCGAGTAAGTGGAGACGAGCGAGGCAGGCAGGAGCGCCGACGAGCTCTAATCGCAGTGAGACTGGAGCGGAGCTCAACAGGCAGGACTGGAGACAAGTTGTGTATTGAGCGAAGTATCTACAGAGCGAAATACACGATGGCTTATGTCACGGACGCTGGACAGACGCCCCTTTTTGCCGCCCATTCCCCTCCCCTTGACGCCCACCTTCCATTTTCGGACCATTTCCTTTCTTAGCCCATCCCAGTTTGGACACTGTAGATACGTTCCCACTGCCACATGCTCCGTTCCCGTGATCACCATGCTCTTGCCTTTTCTTTCTCGCCCTTTGTTCTTCCTTTGTCATCTTCACTGCCTCGCTCTCGCGCTTTGTCTTTGGTTGCTAAGCAGCCCCTCGAGTATATAAGGACCCCCTTAGGCGCTCCCTAGTCCCCATCTCGACCTCTTGGTCATTGGGACTA